GGAGCTGGCTTTGAGCCGGGACGCCCGGAGCTCCCCCCGCGTTTGCGGCGGGCTGAAGGAGGTGACAGAGCCGCCGAGCCGTCCTCCGCCGAGCCCGCCACCAGCACCCTCAGCCGCTGCAACCCTCCAAGAGGGGTTTGGCAAGCACGGAGCAAAGTTTCTCTTGCTTTCTGGTGCCCTCTGCTGCAGTGCGCCTCCCAAGGCCCGGCTCAGCAGAGCCAGGCAGCTGGGCCACCAGAGCAGGCCTACACCCCGAATCCGCAGCGCTGGTTTTGTGCTAGGCTTTCCCCGAGCCTTCCATCCGTCCCTGCGTCCTCGGCCTTCCTCCCCATCCCCTCTCTCGGCACGATGCGTACCTCCAGTCGCAGAGCTGAGTTTAGGCACAGAAACCAAACGCTTCTCCCCCCCAGCACTCACTCTGAGGGGGGGCAAGGACTGCTGAGGATCATTCTGAACCCCCCCAAGAAGAGCAAACCCTCCTGCAGCTCACCGCGCACCGGAGCCAGAGAAAAGCCGCTCTGTGCGCAAAAGGGCAACTCGCCCCACCAAGGCAGGGCCAGAACCCCCTGTCCCAGCCCTGGGGGTTTTGCTGCTGAGGAATTGTCCTTCAGGAATTGGTCCACGGCCTGAACTCCCCTAAACGATGCTGTGAGCTGCTGGCCTCGCCTCACGACGTAACAAGGGAGCACTCACCCGGAGCCCAGCAGAGTCTTCCTCGCCAGCTCAGGTGCGCCTCGGTCCCACAGCATCCTGCACGAAGGGCCACAAACACAGACATCACCTAATTCTGAATCAGCTAAAGCTCTACGCCCCACCCCAATTACTAGGAAACAGTGAGCAATTGTGCTTAGGCCCCGTTTCCAGTTACTTTTTCGAAAGGTTTGCCAAATTTTAACTTTTTTTGGTGAGATAAGGAAAAAGGAAAGATACCCACTATCCCAGTTCCTTTCATTCATCAACCCACAAAGGCGCAGTCCCTGGAGCACCCTAAAGCAGGACTGAAGTATTTCAGAGAAAACCAAACCTCAGCAACCACATGAAAACAGAAGTTATGGTTCATTACAATACTCAATGAGCTGCACCCTGGATTAACTTCTACCCTCTCCCTCACCCGCTGTCGGTGATCCAAAAGGCCTCTTGCTCCCACAGCAACGTGAATAAAGGAGGCCACGCTGTGCTGGTGGGCACTGACTTGCTGTGTTACAGCAGGTGTGCGAGATCCTATTTTACACCTTCACATCTTTGATTCTTCCCAGGACTCATTGGGATCCACCTGCACTGCGCTGCAGGAGCTCAGGGAAGCATTATTCATCCCAGAAGAGAAATCAAGAAGGATATGAAAATTAGATGTAGATAATTGAAGGGAGAAGGCAAGGGTTACCAAATGCAAATGCTTGGAGGGATCGGAGATTAGGAAGAAGGTTGTATTCTTCTCCCTTTAAGCAATTTCAAGGCCTTTTCTGGGAAGGTGTTATCCGAGTGATCTGCTTTTGGAAATGTGATTAATCCAGCGCAGGCCAGAAGCGCTGTTCTTCCGTCCTTCCCGAGTGGACTGCCAAAAACCAGATTAATTCCGCTAATCCATATATTAGTTCTGGCTAAAGATGGGTTGCAAAAATGCTGTATTTCTCTAAAAAAGGCCACTGCTGAACACCATCTGTTAATTTATTTTCTTGGGCCACCGAAAATGAGAAAAAAAAAAAACCCAAACCTTTTTCCTGTCACAGCCGCAGCTCTTTGTTAGTGGTGCCTTGGCTGGCGCTGGCAGGGATACCAAAGCGGCCTGCTGCCCTTCAGCACCCAGGGACGGGTCTCTCACCACCCACAGCGGCAGCTTAAGATTCATTTATCCCTCACGAGTGAGGTGTTCGTGCAGAGCAGACACTCACTTTGCCCTCTTGGTTCTTTGCCCGATTCCCAGCAGTTCTCCCGTTCTTTCTGGGTCCTTCAGCAAAACCGGGGAAGATAAAATCGGGTATTTCTGGTGTGCAGATGCAAACAGAACAGTTGATACAGAAGCAGAGTTAACTTTCCAGGCCTTCTTTATATATCACAAAGAAACAAAAAGAAACAGATAAAAACATTAAAAAGTTACTTCTTTTTTTTTCTTTTTTTTTTTTTTTAAAGGCAAGTTTGGGAGTCTGGATTTAAGACAGTGTAAAAAACTCTCGCTTAACACACACTTAAATGCCATTATGCAAGGTATTTTGGGAGAAGGGATCGACTTAGATTTATCAAGAGCTCTTTCCCCTACCACTAAAGTGCAGGATGTAACAGCTCACGGCTCACAAAAGCTGATTCCCTGACCACTGTCAGCACAAATCGCAGCAGATCTAGGGAGGACCCTGCTGTCGCCCGGCCGGAGTCGTCCCCCTTCGTCCTCGGCACTGCCACCAGCGTGGGACAGATCTCGGTGACAGGAGAGCACTGTGTAAGAGCTCACGGTTATTTTAAACACCTTATTTCAAGCAGCACACTATTTCTAATGCCAATTCAAGAGAAACCCTGCTAATTTCAAAAGCCTCAGATGCCTAAAAAATGCTTCAAGAGGAAGAGAATTGGATTTGGTGGCTCCTTTCACAGCTCAGGCATCAGCTGTTAAGCGAATTATTCCTAATGGCTCAGGAATTAAACCTATATTACAGCGCTGGATGCTCCTGCAAGGATTTTACACTCCGGAATATATTTGTACCTGCTGAATCCAGTGAATTTAGGACGAGCTGTGAATTTTCTACAGGTAAAGAGCTGGGACAAACGACAGGAAGAGGCACAAATGTGTCCCTGGAACCTCTTTGTCTTGGGGAGAGGGAGGAAAATGTCCCTCACTGCTTGGATGGTGGCTCTGCAGTAGCACAGTTCTGGTGGGGAGATCGGCAGGAGCTGCTTTACTTCTTCAGGTTGTGACCGAGGTACAGGCAATGAAAGTGGAGAGAACTAAAGGCGACCACAGGCCCCGTTACTTCACACACAGCCACAGGGAGCAAGCGATCATCCTGCCCCCACACAAATACAGCAGCGAGAGCAAGCCTTCTGGAGACAGCTGCATCTTTCAGGGCTGAGTAAAATCCTTGATCTTCAAATCCAGGTGATGCAGATAAACAGGACTCCTTCACGTTTTTCAGCACACGCCAGAGGAGGCAGCTTCTTGGTAACTATTAATTTCTTGCGATGTGTCCTCCAGGGGATGATCAGAAATCAAATGGTTTCACAGCTACTCTTTTAGCAGCACTACCACCAAGCACCTTATTAAACTTTAATTGGTTATACTGACAATATATGGGACTTACAAAGCGTTTCTACACAAGTGCGATCCTAAGCTGAAAGTCCAGAGGAGCTGTAGGTCCGGTTCCCCTGTGCACATGGAGTGGTCCCAGCGGGATGGCTGGAAACAGATCCCAAATTTTCCTGCCTCCTGGTGCTAAAGAGCAGCATGACCACACTGTACCTCGTGCTGGGTTTGTGTTATCCTGATAGAATCCCAGTGTGCAGGCACCAGCTGAAAACCAGAGGATGTTTGGGATGGGTCCTTACAGTACCTGCGTGGAACGAGCATATTTAATAAATACAAATTCTGAGACACAGGGAAAACTACATTTGAATGGTTGCTGTTGAGAAATGTCACCCGAACCAGTTACGGAGGTCCTTGAGTTACAGCTGAACCTGGCTCATTTACGAGAAAATGTCTTTTATCTGCAAATAATCTCACACACACACACACACCCCTTCACAGACTTTTGCTCAGTTGTTTATCTATGGAAGTTTACTGCATTTCTCCATGGAACAAAGGAAGAGCTATTTTCCTTCACAATGTGTGTTCTTTGTTTCGCATGAAAATATCAACAAGGAAAGTGGAAAATCATGGGCTTTGTCATACTATTTATTCTGGGAATCCTGATTTCATTTCAGAGGAAAGTAAGTTGTGCTTTGCTATCCCATCCATAGCCAAGAGGACCTGAGCTCCACCTTTCTGCAAACCGGCAGCATCCTCTCTGACTGAGACTATCCCCCATATTCCCTTTTTATTTTTCCATTGCTTCCAACCTCCCCTGTGGCTCTGAGAATATCATGCGGGAAGGAGCAGGACCTGGGATACCATCTCCTTCAGTTTTGAACCGTCAGTAGAAACTTCTTTGCTCTGACTAGATGCTTTGTTTGATCTCCCACTTTATTTCCTGGCTTTGTGCAGTGTGAATAATTACAGTCATAGAACTTTTACCTTCCTCCCCCGAGGGGATGGGAAACGGCCTCAGGCTCTTTATCGAGTTTACTGAGCTGTAATGTTGATAGTTTGGAAGTTTGTGAAACTTCTTCACAGGAAAGGTAACTCTCTTCAGCTATAAATAGAGGCCAGCTTTCTACAGCTTATGACATAGCGAACCGCAATATTTGTGTTCAAAAAAAGTAGTAGTAAATTAATTTAATCACGGGTTTCTGTACATTGTTTTTGTCCCAGTCAATAAATTAAAAATATCAAGACAGTTGGCTTGAAATCTCCTACGAAGCAGCCCACTGTGTTCTGTAAATAGTCCCACAAAAAATAGTTGCTTTGTAGGTTTTCGGTGACACAGAAAAAGAGGCAAAACTTCTCATGCTTTTTATGGCTGGAAATTTCAGATGACTGATGAGCATAACACCCATAATGCTCCAGGTTTTTATTACCTGTATTAATAAAATTCGATCAGACAGCTTAATTTCTGCTGCACGGTCTGATCAGGATATGACCGCGCTCAGTAAGCCAAGAGGGGCTCACAGGGATCTGGTCCCCCAGTACTCGGCACTCAGCCTGGAAGGTGGGCAACCAAAAGGCCTCCGCAGCCAGAGGGAAAGGTTCTGGAGATGGTACAGAGGATTAGCCCCAAGTGGCGTTTCCTTTTCAATTACAGAAAGTACAGGACTGACCTAAGTCTCACGGACAGGCTGCGGAAAGGAGCACAACCACGGCACGGGCTGCCCACAAAGGAAGAAGCGAGCGCACGTGGGACCGGCGGTTGGATGCATCACTGGAAAATTACCTGGGGAAAGAGCTCCTTGCGTCAGGGCAGTTAAACGAGAGCAGCCAGTTCACGCTTGGCACGGCATGAGGCACGCTTGCAGGCATCCTCTCTCCTCTGACCTCCTGGGGATGTGCCCTTCTGCTCTGCAGCCACGAGGAACGCCAGGACCTGCAGTGGGGAACAGTCTCAGCAACACCCCTCCTTCAGGACCCCGACCCAACGCAAGCCCCTGCGGAGGTGACGGGACCTCGGCGACCAGAGGGTTCCCCTGTGGGTGCTGAGCCGTGGGGCCTCCTGGGGGCCTGGGGCAGGGAGGGAATAAAACGGGCTGGGGATAAAACGGGCGGGATCTCAAAGGACACAGGGGTGCAGGGGGCTGACACCTGTGTGGGCAGGGAGGGAGCAGAGCACCCCGCTGCGAGCGCCCGCAGAAGCACCCTTGGCGGTGAGCCCAAGGACGTACCCCGCTGCGCGTGAACCCACTCAAGCAATGGAACAACTTCTCCCTTAACATTTGTGACATAAAACGGCTTTTAAAAGAGCCTATTTGAATTATTTTCCCTCCTCCTCTCGCTCATTTGCAGCTATGAACTATAATCCTAGGGCACAGCTGAAAGTTTGCAATGCAAAATTCATGGACCGCTGAGAGACTTTCTTATGCCTGCAACGGATTCTAGTAAGGAAAAGAACTCAACAGTGAAAGGGCGGCACAGCAATTAACGTTTGGATGCACTCATTATGAGCGCTCTCCAGTAGGCCAGGCAGAACTGTGGAGATGCCACGAGCTGGAGAGTGTTGCTAACGCCGCAGACACAAGCGCTGCCGCAGCAGAGGACAAGGCTGCCACGTGAAAAGGCAGTAACAAGAGGTGTGTGATTCACGTAGAAACAGCGGATTGCTACAAGCAGCACGCAGATTACACACCGTTATGTGGAAGAGCATTAGTGCTGCAAAACGATTCTGAGGAACTGGCTCAGCGCCAGCGTGTTAGCAAGAGATAAAATAGCTTTTCCCAGATTTGCACAAAGATGGAGAGAGACGGGGGAAGCACTGCCAGAGACTCTGAGCAATCTGTGGGAAGAGGCTCCTCCACCACCAGTAAGAGGTGTGGAGAGGCAGGAGGGAGGTCAGCATCAACACGAAGGGAGAGAGATGCTCTGCGGGGGGACTGACACACCTCAACTCGCCTTCAAAATGGAGACTTTGGCACAGGCTGACGCTGCATTTTAGTCAAGTTCTAAGGCAGTGAAAACAAAACGGATTCTATTTTCTGTTTTCTTATCCATCCTTGTACAGACAGTTGCTCTTCTCTGTCTTCATGCCACACTGACTGTTCATTCCGTGTTCAGCCTCTCTCGCTGTTTTCCTAGACAAACTGTTCAGTCATTCAGGAATCGATTTAGAGATCTCGATTGCAACACTCGGTGGAGGAGAAAACAAGTTTGCAGGCTGAACATCATCCCTCCAGGTCTTCCAGTCCCGCTCCTTCGCCTGGGGAAAGGCATTTGTCTGGGATTATTTTTTTTTTTTCTCCCCTGCAGAATAGAGAACAATAATAATGTGAAATGCTCGAGCAGAAGTAACTGGTATGGCAGCAGAGAGCATCTCTCTCTGTCTGTAAAGGGAGCTCGCTCTCCTCCGGCGCACACGGAGGGATGCGGGCGCCTTGTGAAGATTTCCCCGTTTCTCCCGAGGTGCCACGTACACAGGTCACACCGCAGGTGCCACGGGAAGGACGCGGAGAACAGGGGAGAGGCAGCGCCACACGGGGCTGAAGGGATTCCCAAGGCCTGCCCCGCCCGCCGCCTTGCTCACTGACTCTGCGGGACGAGGCTCCGCCGCGAAGGCAGACCT